ACTTAAAACTACAAGAAGTTTAAATAAAATATAATAAGCATGAAAATACAACCAATATGTCTATATTTATAATTATCTATCTACTGATATTTTTCATGATTATTAAAATGCGCAAGTGATTTCTAATTTCTTAATGATATTTTGTTATTTGAGTCAATTTCTAATTAACTATTTAAATTTACAAAAGATTCTTTATATCTGTTGAAAGCTTTCTCTACAGTTATTTAAAGCTGTTGCATGGTTTGGTCAATTTTTAATGGTATACTAAAGCCCACAAGTACATAATTATTAAATTGATATTATGTTATATTAATTTTTAATTAGTTAAATTCGCATTTACTGTAAATAAGATTATTATTACATTCTTAATCATTCAAAAGCAAATAAATAGAATCAGATTATACTAATAAATCTGCAAAAATATCTGTCAATTTCCATTTTGCTTCCAAATTATCTGCAGGATGAATTAAAAAATCTTGGTGCATTACTTCATCTTTTTCTTCATACAAACTTTCTGATTCATCTGAACTCACTAAATTATATTGCATATGCTCATCTTCTTCTTCAGTTAGATTTATCCATCATTCTACAATTATTTTCCAGTTATCTACACAATTAACTGTTTCTATATGATCATTATCCCTAGTATCTCCCATATCAATATTATTATTATCAGTGTTTTCATCTGATAATATAAATTCCTTTTTGTTGTCATTATTAGAGCTTATTTGTTCAAACAGAATAGCAATATTTTGTTTATATGTTTTTAATGACTTATCAATTGTCACAATATTTCATGAATGTAAAAGCTCTGATCTTATTTGGCTCATGACAAGAACTTTTTTATACTATTAAATATAAAATTTAATAAACATAAATGATCCTGTGACTAATTAGATATTTTATTACCAATACAATATTTGGCAAATGAATGTTTTATGTAAGGAATAATGGTTAGGGTTAGTAGTTTAAAAAATAATTATTTTGTTAGAGTACAAAAGGTGTTTTTTTAACATTCTAATTTCATTCTAGTTCATATAATAATGACATATCATATTGGCAATAAATTTATACATTGATATTTAAAAAAAAAAAATAATAATTTACCTGAAGTCGATTATGATGATCTGAGTAATACCATCTCATTGCAAAGAATAACTGTTCTACTGATGCCATGGTTATACAAATTAAAAAAATGCGAACTGCTACAAGATGCAATTCTACAGCAATTCCTTTACAAAAACTCCAATAGTTTAGCATATTACCACCATATTGGTCAAAAGTTTCTTTATTAAATGGGTATTCTTCACTTTCATAATATTGCAGTTCATACAAAATAGAATGTGAAGGTTTACCAAACCAGGATTTATAATAGTGTACAATCCATTCTCCCATATGCGTAAAAGAAAGATCATTAACATTTTGGTTAAATTGTATATTATGATAACTCGGATGTAATAAAAAAGACAAAAGTAACAACGGTTGCTTCCAGGCTAACCATTATTTTTCTAATTTCATTAGCAAATAATTTTTAAGATCCTGATCAATAATACTTTTAATAACTTGGCACATCCATCCAAAACTATGCAAAACTTCAGTAAGGCAACCTTTATCTTGCTGAAGTTTATTTAATGATGCCATATACAGTTTGAGAAGAACCTTTAATTGTATAAGGTTTTTCCATCACTCATTGTCTGAAATATTAAAAAGGATACTTCTAGGAAAACCTTTAAGGTTATCATCATTTTCTTTTTCTATTCTTGTAGCTAAGTTTTTAAGTGCAGCATGGGACCTAATAATGCTAGTGAAGCACAGGTAGTGACTATTCCATCGAGTAGAATTTGGGATTATAAAAGAAATATATGACTTATATAAAGATGCTTGCTCTGAACGAAGGCACCCCAAAAAAAATGTTGACTGATGAAAAAAGAATACAAGACAAATGGCTTGTTCAGCAACAGCTAATAATGTGTTTGAAATTTTAAATATATCACCAACACACAAGTTTATTTGATGTGCAAAACATGGGATAAATATGATTTCTGAATGCGCATGCCATAAATGATTTCTAAATTTAAAAAAAATTTATTAATAATGATGCTATATCACTTCACTGATATAGATACAACATTTTACTAATGATCAATTTACTGACATTGACAAGTTCATTTCATCAACATTTTATTTCACACAGCTCATTTCGCTGACAAGTTTTTTTTTTTTTTTATAAATTATACTAACCTTAACTCTAAATCTAACCTGAACCTAATGACAATGACTAGAATTACCTTGTCTGGAAAATAAGCTATAGGTAAAATAAACTATCAGTGAAATAAACTTATCAGTAAAATAAGTATAGTATTGGTGAAATAAACATGTCAGTGAATTAATTGTTAGTAAAGTGCTGTATCTACAAAATGAGCACTGGTGAAATAAGTATATCTAATATTACCTGGCTGCTTCATATTCAGATGCGCAATCTGTTACAACAGCAATAACTTTTATTTTTTTTTTTTTAGATCATCAAGCATATTTTCTGTTCGACATTGTACATCAGGCCATTTCATACATTCATTTGATATATCTTTTGCACTCCAAACAAGAATTTTACCCTTCGAAGTAATTAAAACACTTCTGAAAATTGACTCTTTTTTTATATTTTTCCAACCATCATATGCTAATGTAACACTATTTTTATTACTTTGAGCTATTTCTTTAATTGATTTAGTTATATTTTGTGCATATTCTGCTAAAATTCGGCCACCAAGCTTTTTTTGTAAGGGCAGTTTAACTGGTAGATAAAGAAACTCAAAAAGCACCTTTATTTCTGGGTTTTTTATCCAAAAAAAAGCCAAACTACATGAAACAGTTGCTTTAAGTAGAAGTTGTTTGAAATGTTTCTGTTGATCTTCACTTAAAGGCCACAATAAATATCGATCTATTCTATTTTTTTTGCTTCGAAACTTATCTGACTGAAGAGAGCTGGCAACCAAAGAAACTTCTGATTCAGTAGCAGAATTATCATCGATACTTTCTTGAAAAGCTAAGTTAAAAATAAAACCAACATTTATATATACAGAAAGCAAACAATACTGTATTTAATTAATTAAGTTTACAATTATTAGTTGTTGAAACCATTTTATCTGATTTGGCTAGAATTTCTGCTTATTCAGATTCACTATATTTTTGTTTAAAATATATGCAATTTTTTAAGTAACGGTGAACTAGCCCTTGTGTGTTTGCAAACCTATTATTATATACATCTTTATAAGAAGAACCAATTACACATTCTTGACAGACACAGAACTTGTTGCTTTTATTTGCTTTTTCATCAAGCATAATTATAAATTCCAATAGATGATAGGGTTGTTTGCCCATATTTATATGGTGAGTAAGCAAAGATAATTAAACTAGTAGAATTATCAATGTGAGACTTTGAGATTGCTACTTGGTTTCTTAATCAAACTTTGTCTCTAAAAATTCCTTAACTATTTATTTGTTTTTATTTATATTCTTAATTCAAATTTTTGAATTCTCCAACTGACATTATTAAACAGTATGATAGATAAATTTCAAATGCATAATAGTTACTTAATACGGTAATGTAGAAAACAATATGGTACTACTAAAAAAGGCCTTTTATTTTTCATTTTACAAAATAAGCAACTGAGACAATTGTAATTATGATGATCATACTATTGATTGTTACTGAATTTATCTATATCGTACGATGGCCTCATTCAGTGATTCAGACTTTTGAATTATATGTAACAATTCAAATTTATCCATATTATTATATTAGGTATAGTATACTAATGAAAAGAGTCTGAATCGCTGAAAGGGGTTGATAGAGCCTTTTATTTGAATAAACCAGAATAACTAATTATGGTGATCACTTTACCCAAATAAAGAGTATTTTCAAGCATCTCTCTCAATGGACTCAACAAAGAATTAGATCAATCTGTCTAATAGACAGCTGATCAAATTCTTTGTTGAGCTTACAAGAAAGTTGTTTGAAAATGCCCAAAGTATCGTTATGATGTGAAACATTTTTTTAGACCCATTTCATTTTACATTATACTAAATTAAAATTTTCTTTGTTAAACCAGTTTTGAAGAAACAAAATGCACAAATACTAATCAGAAGTTATGATATTCTCACAATGGTATTATTTTCAGCTTAACACATTATTTGACAAAATTACCAAGATAGATTTTCTATTGTGATTATTACCATCTAGCATCATTATAGTTAGATTACTTACAACACTTGATAACAGTAAAATGTTCAAAAATCTGTATTATTCACCTTGGGCTAAAAATAGAAATCAAGAATTACGCAATTTTTTCTGGGATTTTTCATTGTTTGAACAACAACAAATTCCCGAAATTGCATAAACCTGGACACTAGTTAAAATAAAGAACTATTGTTAAATAAATAGTGTACCACCTACCCGAACATGCTATCATATGAATATTATTTTACTATTAATTTAAATTAAACTATATTCGTATTTGCATACATGTACATATATAATTTATTTGAAAGGCCAGCATGCGGTATTAAAAATAATTAGTGTACAATAGCACATTTTAATTGACAATGCTAAAATTTTTTGTTCGTTATTAGCTGTATATCATCATGAATTAATGTTAATTGTATTAATTGTTCAGGCACAATTTTTTAAACTTGTTCTTTTCCACCTATTGTTAAATAATAATGTTGACAAATATGAAAGTATAGGATAATAACCATAAATGTTACAAGAAGGATGCTAGAAAAGGGAAGTTGCAAATATGTTAGTTGGAAGGTAAATAAAATATTATTTTACCAGCAATCTAATTTAATATGTCATGTGTTAAGTTTTTATTAGATGAAGTGGTTACACAAAGGATTTTTATATTCGACCCTTTATTTGAACATGGACACCTTTTGGACTTAGTCTATGTCTAATTAAAATTTTGTTTGGACATAGTCCAAATGCCAACACTGCATTCAGCTAATAGTTGCATTACAACTACAGGAGGCAACCATGGACAGAGTATACAACTAGCCACTCATACAACTTTAGTCATTGTCTAATTTAAGTAGTCCACCCGAAGGTTCTACACTAGCTGCCATACCTGGAACTTGCTTGTAGGTTTCCTATTTAACTACTCTGTTCCTGTATCCACCCACATACCTACACCTACCAAGATGACCTGATCGATACTGGTTCAAATATGCCATAATTACTAAGTCTTTAAAGTGGTCACTCACATGGGGAACCTTTGACCTTGTATTAAACCTTTCAGAATCTTCTGTATCTCATTCTTACAGCTGACCTGGTATTGCTACGGCCAAGACCAATACTGGCAGTTAGGGTGTACTATTAAACTGCTATGCCCTTGTAGAGTTCACCCCAACCCCGATACTGACTTCACAACATATCTCTACTATTTTGGTATTCAATTCAAGTTCCACCAAGCTCCCAAACCAGATAGCCCGGAAAGGCAGGTTGTAACCATACACCTTTGGTTTACATGTTTGCCGGCATGTAATCTTTTCCTCCGGAACCCAGAAATTCTGGTGGCCTGGTTGGTTCCATTCGGCCCCTTCTCAAAGGCCGGCTCTTTGTCTGGTTTCACAAGTTCTAGCTTCATTTCATAGGTCTAGTCTTTACAGTAGCACTGTCGAAAGTTTGGATTACCTCTCTACTCAAGTCTTCTAAGTAGGCTTCCATCCTCCTACCTGGTTCTCATAATTTATACGGTCTAAGGACTTATCTTGGGTTCATACTGCCCGGTACAGATTTGTGTTCCTTCATACAATGTTGCATGAATGCCTAGACCTTCCAGTCAAGCTGGTATGATATAAGTTACAGGTATCCTATCCCAACCAATCACAGAAGACAGTTAGCTGTAACACAGAAAGAATTGCAAATTTTTACCATCACTGGGATTTGAACTCTAGACCTGCCACTTGGAGGTTGACAACCTATTCACTTCACTAGGTCACCACACCTCGAATTTTATTGATAATATATATAGGCTAGCATTTTTTGATATAACAAATACAGAAGCAATCATGAAATAAGTATACACTAGCCACATATATAACTTTAGTTATGGTTAAATTTAAATAGTCTGTTTAAAGGTTCTACACTAGTTGCTATACTTAAGACTTATCTATAACTCCTCTATTTAAACACTAATCTTATATTTATCATGCTCTATCAATAACTCTAATAAACTAATAAAGATATGCTATAGTCACTAAGTCATATTTAACTTTGTACTAAATCTACTAAAGCCTTTTGTATCTTATACTTATAGCTAACCTGATATTGCTTTGGTCTAAACCAACATTTGCAGTCAGAACTAATCATTAAATTGTTATACTTTTGTAAAATTTATCTAAATTTCAATACTTATTTTCTAATGTTTTTTTTATTATTTTCTACTAGTCATAACTAAGAACTGACAAAACTTCTCAAACTTTCAATTCAGATAGCCTAGTATGATATACCTTTAGTATTCTTTTTCCTTTGACAATTTTGATAGCCTAGTTAGTCATATGCTTCTCTACATATCTTATTATTTAGTTTATCTGCCTATTCTTACTAAAGGTGTTTTATAACCTTCTATCAGTCTAACAGCACTATTGAAAATTTGTATTATCTCCTTATTTAGGATTTCCAAGTAGGCTTCTAACTTCACAGTTCTTTTACTTTTTATGCTCAGTAGTCTTATTGTAAATTTGTATTGAAGTCTTATACAATACTGATTATTAATTTTTTTTTTTGATATTAAGGTAACCTCTTTGGTCTTTTAACTTTTATTAATTATTTATTAGTATTGTGATTCAATAAACCACTACAGAAGAGAGTACAATTGGCTAAACGTGTAACTTTTCTATATTACCTATTTAAGGAGTTTGTCTGAAGGTTTTTTACTAATTGTCATATCTAACATCTCTGCTTAGATGTTTCACTTTAAACCTTTTGAATTTGTAATCTGTGTTAACTCACTAGGTCATACTCAGATGCCCAGATTATCATCTCAACCTTAGAACTAATTTATCCTTAAGGTAAACCCTTTAGAGCCTTTTGTACCCATTTTTACAGCTGATCTAGGTATCACTATGGCAGAACCAACACTTGCAATCAGAGCTGATCATTAAACTGCTATGCTCTTGTAGAGTTCACTTAGATTCCAGCATCTACTTTATAGCATAACTCTAGTACTTTAGTATACCCCTGCCTTTTCATCTGCCTTTTTACCAAACTCCCAATTCAGATAGCCTGTGTAGGACTACAACCAGTCCATTGATATATCAGGTCAGCCTAATATCCTTTTTTTCTAATTCATTCTGATAGCCTAGTTGGTAGTACCTTCAAGACTTCCAACCCAGAAGTTCTTGCCTGTCTGGCTACTACAACTAGGTATTATGATCTTGGTATCTGTTTCTCTAAGCTAGCTTTTACAGTAGAGCCATTAAAGATCCAACTACCTCTCTATTTTGGTCTTCTCAAATAAACTTCTTATTACCCAATTTCAACAGATTTACATAGCCACAAGGACTTATCTAGTGTTTGCACTGCCCGATTTGTCAGTTTGCATTTTTCTATGTAACACTATACTTACACAGATGCCTCATGACCTGCCAGTCATGCTGGTATGATCGCTATTACAAGTATTCTAACCTAATCATTAGTAATGGTTGCTATAATATGAATATTATATAGGTAATTATCTAAATTTTTATTGTTGATAGGATTTGAACACCCAACCTACCACTTGGGAGGTTAACAACCTGACTACTTCACTAGGTTACCACACCCCTTGCAATAATAATTATATATTTCTCTATATAAATATAATATTACACTTTGCATAAATGTTCTAAGCTTCTATTTGAAATATTGTAACTGAAAGTTACAGATATACTAATCTAACTAGTGTTGGGCTTGCTTATAAGTTCAATAAAATTAACTAAAACTGAACTTATAGGTTCAGTAGTCTAGTTTATAGTCCAGTAGATCAGTTTATAAGTTCAGTAGAATGGACTTTTAGTTTAGAGCTCAACACTAAATTCAACTGATTAATAGAATCAGTTATTATAACACAGATATAATTTTCAAAATTCATTGTTTATAGAATTTGAACTCTAGACCTGTTACTTGAAGATTAACAACCTGATCACTTCACTAAGTTATCACTATACTTCTAGTTTTTTGTTTTCTAATTTTTACAGATTTATATAGTTACAAAACTTATTTTTATTTTTTTTTTAAAATGTTAAAGTGAGTATATATGACTTAGAATTTTACTGATAGTATAAGTTAGCCAGCACCTATACATATACAGACACAGAGGCAATTACAGAAAGAGTATACA